TATCAGGTCATCCTTCCTGCGAGATCCTGAAAAGTGAGGTGACAATAATTTGGTGTGTTGAGATCTGTAGTGAAAGCATCTTATGGATGGATGTGACAACATTTTTCACTACTCTTACCTTAGCCCGCACCTCACACAACATTCTGTTCTGCCGTACTCAGGGGCCGATTGTAATACTGTAAATGTTAACCCATTCCTTTTTTTTCTCGTGACAGCCCAGTCCCAAAATCACTGGTGTCAAAGTGCAGAATGGATTGCACATTTCAAGATTTATAAAAGGCAAGGACTAGTTCACAGACCCTTTTCATTTAAAGCATGTTTCCTAGACTGTGTGTCAATGAAGGAGAAAGCTACTGTATGTCAATAAAGTCCCTAACAATGTTCCTAGAAATATTCCTGCCCCACAAAAATATACACATCCCCTACTTCATGCTCAAGGATCTTGGTCTTTCGCTGGAGGTAAGACTTACTTGAATGCAGTTTAAATCTATCTGCCATTACAAAGCCAAACATTATCCACATATTCTCATGACTGCCAGAGAATGTTACTGCATTCATTAATGGGACTCACAAGTAGACCAAGAGATTAACACCCTCTCCATCAGTGTCTTGAAGGTACAACACTTTACTTGAAATGTACTGTACAAGTCCTTCCAAGTGGCAATTTAGTTTTCTGTAGTACACCTCCTTCTTAATAAACACTGGTGAAAATACCTTTTTGGGCTCTACTTCAAAGTAATTAATAATGCGCATCATTTGAAATGTTAGGAGCCAGTGTCAATTGCAAAGCAAAGTCTTGACCATTTGCCCGACTGTTTCTCAACTTGTTTTTGCTGTGTACACCCACCCAGATACCGCGGTTCTGTATACTGCTTTACTAACACAGTTTTTTGTACCTTAACCTCTTTCATGAGTACACATTTGTAAATAGTTATGCCATTATAATTACACACAAAGATGCGAATATTGATAATAATAATCAAAAACACATTAGAATTAATCTGATGGATTAGCCTAGGACATACTGTATACATGACGGTTTCAGCCACGAGCCATTTTAGATCATGGAAAGTAGCACTTTTTTTTTTTAATCTCAGTGACGGCTGAAAATCCACTTTTGTAAAGGTAAATGCATGATAAGGCAAAGGGCATTAAAGTTTAGTTGCATTGTCTGACAGCAGAGGATAATCTGATTCCGTTAGCAACCAAAACTCTGGCACTGGCTTTTGTTGAAACTCACTGTTTGTTGCTACTGTATGTCAGTGAGGCTCTCTTGGTTATCATCAGGTCTTGTGGCTTGTGAGAAGCCCGGAAATTTGAGAAATGGTAGCAAATCCATCTCTTTTTGTTATCCATGTGGGGAAAATAATCCCATATTTTCTGGTTCAGGTTTGTGATTTGCTGTCATGAGTTAATACGCGATGTTGTGGGGCACTGAAGCTCATTAGTTGTAAGGAATTTGTGGAGGTTTGGAAACACTGCTGTGTTGTTTTTCTTCATGGTTTCAGGTCAGAAATTTTGTCAGGTCTATGTGGGCTTCCAGTATCTTCTACTACTGCATTCTAAACATTTCTTACTGTAAAGCTCTTTGAAAAGCTACTTTTAAAGGTGTGGTATAAACTAACGATTATTATTAGTAGTAGTAGGAGTGACCACATTATTATGCATCAGTACTCCACTATGCTTCCCAGTCCTTTAATTTATTTTTTGGATTCTTTTCAAATTCCAACACATTGTAACAACAACAGATAGACAGATAAGACTTTATTGACCCCTAAGCAAATTTATGAAATACCTACTGTATGTATCAAAACCTTTAAGCTGTTTTTCAAAAGCACTTAACCACATAATGTAATACACAAGTCGCTGGGGAAAATATTGGCATCTGTCCAAGTGAATCTTATCTTGATGTATTTTTTAGTAAATTATATTACTCCTAATATACTCTTAATCTTTTTTTTTTATTTGGAGGATAAGGTTCACACACAAAATCAGTGTATATGCCGGTAATGTCCAAGTTTAATCTATAGTTTCTATAGATTATATCTATAATATACTGTATACCTCTTTATGACCACCTACTGTATTAATTTTGCTATTTAAGATTCAAATTACCTACGCTTTGAACAGGAAAGTTATTGGATTTGGACAATATGTTTGATGCCACACTGCAAATATATTGAATGTGCACATTGGTGCATATTGATTTTTCTGTGCATAAACTTATTAATTCGAATTCAACTAAATGAATGATGTACATTTTGACCTTTATGTACATTCAGGTAAGTGTAAACACAGTTGAATGTTAATTTCTTTTTAGATTTTGTTTGTTCTTGGATTTTGAGAATTGTTTGAGAATTTTTTTGTTAAAATTGTATTTCTTTTGCCAAGCATTTCTTAAAACTGAATTCCTTTTTGGGAATGTTTTTCACTCCCATAGCTGGTTAAATGGTTATCCGTTTTTAACAGTCATGATCGTTTGCACTGAAAATATGTACATTGAGAGTCATACTTTTTACCTACCAGACAAAATACAGTATATCTCAATAAAAAAGAAGACATATTGGAATCAGATAACCTTATTCTCCATAGAATTCTGTAAAATAATTTTCAGGGTAAAGATTGTCAATTGACACATTACAGTGCAAAAAAAAAAAGTACTTACAGGCCCTAGCTTGGCATTCTGTTCTACTGAACAGCTCCTTTCAGATAAGCCAAGTACATTTCAATACATTCAAGTGATTCTACTGCATATGACAGCTAACACTGCCCCCTAATGGAAATCTATTTATACAGTAAGTATAGTTATTAAAACGTGAGGACAACCACTGTAATAAACACAATAAAACTGTTTATTACAGAATACAACAAAGTAAACATATTTTAATGTATTTTATATTAATATTTAAATTAATTTTTAAACATATTTCCTTATTGTTCATACTGTTGCAGCTTTAAGAAGTGAACATAAGAAAAAGACATACATGATGAAAGTAAAAAGTTTCTAAGTTTAATTATTTCACAGAGATGAATATCAGATATAGAAAATGTTTTTTTAGAATGCTTATTCCTTTCATCTTTGTACCTCAATGTGTATGTAATTGTAGTTTAGACTCAGTAAAATAAGTTTCAGATTAGGTCAGGTTGCGTAATAGAACACACATTTTCTATTCACTAAGCTTCACTTACCCCCCAGAGGGAACCTGGATGCAAAGGCAACACAAAATAAAGAGGAGGAGGAGGGAGGAGGAAGGAATTCAAAACGTAAGAAGTGTGCATTAGTGTGGTTAGGGTTTTAAATTTCAACTGCTTCAAAAGTATTATGGGATGTAGATATCACCCTGTGCCAGCTGCTAAATTTCAGATCTCCCCTTACTCAGGTGTAGCTGGCATGTAACCAGCTGGATTTTAGCAAAAATAAAATAACTTGATCATAATAAGAGCTTTTTAGTTAGAAACAATTAAGCAAAATCCATTGAGAAGAGGCTGCATAAAGTTCTTTATGCTCATATTGTTGAAAATAATACAATTGTATTAAGGATCAGGGGCTATCCCAAGTACAAACCATTTAAACCTAACCCACAATAAAGCAGTGCTACTTTATTCTACAAGCTTTACCTATTTAATCGACACAGTTCACATTGACATTTTTACTGGTATCAAAGATCATGACTGTTAAATACCACCATCAAACATTGGTGTTTCAATCAAAAGTCTTGAACACAGGCCTTCATTGATAACACCTGTGCCTAATAAACTCAATGAATGTATACTCCTGTCATTCTTATCCACAGCCTACTAGGAAACTGACTTTGAGTGATACATTAATTATGCAATCTCAATGAGAAAAGCAAGAAGGTAAAGAATATGCCAGACTTCTGGACCATAAAAGGCACAGTCTAGATGTTAATCCCATAAAAGATTTAGTCATACTATGGTATAAACAATATGCTGTGGTTTGGGTTCAATATACAGTATAGTAATTGACTACAGGAACACAAATTACATTAAGGCTCTTAGCTGTTTCATATACATATAATAAAAATGTAATGAAAATGCACAATTTGGAAACAAAAACCAAAATATTTTCATAACATGCAAGCTGCATCTTTTTTCTTTACTTTTACTTTGTGCTGAATATTTACACAAATGACATAACAATGCACAGTTCACAGAGAACGTGACACAATACAGTAAAGACTTAAAAGACTAAAGATGTCTGAGATGCAAAAACCTCATTAATCTGAAGTTACAATTGAAGAGAACCTTCTTCCACACAAATGGAAATAGGTTCTCATACAGCTTTATCTTATATCTTCAATCTTATCTTTCTTTATCTATATTTATTATAAAGATTTATATTTTATTTATTCTGCAACACTTTTCCACTGCATTTCCATTATCTTATTAGATATACTGTATCAATGCATGATGGTATTTTGTACACACATTAGGAACATGAAAAACCACAGGAAAGCATTTCTTTCAAACTCAGAAGCAATGTGCCTTCTCTCAGTTAGATTTATTAAGTTCATAAATTGTCAACGTAACCACTTCTAAATGAAAGTCTAGAGTCTATTACTTATCAGACATTATTTGTAGAAGAAAATACAGTTGAAACATTAGTTGAATTCTGTTGAATTATGATCAATGAGCCAATACCATCAACAGCAGTATTAACCTCCCTGCTGTGATATTATGGTAGCTGTCCATCATATTCTCCCAAATGTGTAACTTGCTTTTATTAAATCTACTTTTTAATACTTAATCTTCTGGAATCTTTCAGATTGTACTTGAATTATTTCTACTGCTTGACTTTTTTACAGTACATACTGTGTACCACAGAAATCAACAGTTCTAAAGTAGAATGGCTGCAGGTTATGTCATCAAAGAAATTTGTGAAGAAAGTACACAATGTACCTTTAATATTAAGTACACAGTACAGATCCAACGGTCTAGTATGCGCTTCAAACTCACATCAGTAGAACGCACACAGCGGTAGTCCACAGTCCTGTCCAGAATACCACATTCAGCCCTTCACAAATTAAAACAGATCACTAGGTTACACAAGATACTACAACAGTGGTTTCATTTAATTTTTTTCATAATATAGTAATAATAATAATTGCTTCCACTTATATAGCGCTTTTCTGGACACTCCACTCAAAGCGTTTTACAGGTAATGGGGAATCCCCTCCACCACCACCAATGTGCAGCATCCACCTGGATGATGCAACGGCAGCCATAGTGTGCCAGAACGCTCACCACACATCAGCTATCAGTGGGGAGGAGATTCATAGATGGGGATTATTAGGAAGGGCTAATGCTTGGT